ATGTACAAGTTCTATCAGAATCATTTTTAAACTTCCCAATAGGACATTCTTAAACACAAATAGTATTATCTAAATAAAATCCTTAATTGCAGCTTTAACATATATTTAAACTTGTACACGAAGAACAACTATTATCACATGAAGTACAAGTTCTATCAGAATCATTTTTAAACTTCCCAATAGGACATTCTTAAACACAAACAGAGTTATCAAAATAAAATCCTTAATTGCAGATTTAACATATACTTAAACTTGTACATGAAGAACAACTACTATCACATGAAGTACAAGTTCTATTTAAATCATTTTTAAACTTCCCAATAGGACATTCTTAAATACAAATAGAGTTATCGAGATAAAATCCTTAATTGCAGCTTTAGCATAAAGTTGTACTTGTACACGAAGAACAACTAGTATCACATGAAATACAAGTTCTATCTGGATTATTTTTAAACTTCCCAATAGGACATTCTTAAACACAAATAGAGTTATTGAGATAATATCCTACGCTACAATTTGTACATGAAACTTCATTAATACATGCAGAACATCCACTTTAACAATAATAAACTGAAAATATGAAATCTCTTATTCCTAAAGATTCATTATCTGGCCTTTAATCAGTAGTAGCTTTTATTTTTATTTTTATATTTTATTAACTATAATTTTATTAATAATTAAATTAAAGATATTCTTCTCCATACGCATTTAATCCGCATAATGCATAAGGACCATAAATATTTGGTTTTTTTTCTATTTATATGACTTAGTCATTTATTAAAAAACTCATATAGTCTATATTATCCCAAGAATCTATCAATATATATTTAAATTATACCTGTATTTTATATAAAGGATTAGGTATATCAACTGAAATATTCATATTACAGCTAATTGAACATATATTATATCCACCTAAAAGTGATTATGAGGAGCAAGTACTTATCCATTAGGTACCAAAAAATGAAGAAAGAATAAAACCACAATCTTGAGCATTTTATTAAGTAAAATATTGTTAGTTTAGACATTATTTTAAAATAGTTTAAGGCCTTATTAATAATATTAAATAAATTTATATAAATATTATAAAATTATGATATTTATTTTAAATTAATTTTTCTTTTTTAACCATTTTTAAATATATATTTATTTAAATAACTATTTATTTTTATTAATAATTATTAAATTTAATAAAATAAATATTATTTAACGTATAATATTATTTAAAATAAAAATTATTGATTTTTTTATAATTTTCTTTCATTTTTGTTTTTATTAATTATAATTTAATTATTAAGTCAGCTGATTAATCTATTTTAATTTTGTCAATAATATGATTAATTATTGATGGATAATTTAAAATATTTTCTTTTAATATTATATTGAAATAATAAAATTTTAAAAGATATAATTCTTAAAATTTTATAAAAAAATAATTAATTTACTTACATAAATCTAGTTATAAAAATAATAACCTTAATTGCAGCTTTACCATAAAGTTAAATTAGTATAATTTAACACTTGCTATTATATAACGTATAGATTTTATTTAAAGCATTCTTAAATTTCCAAATATAACACAATTAGAGTTATTTAGATAAAACCCTTAATTGCAGATTTAGCATAAAGTTGTACTTGTACACGAAGAACAACTAGTATCACATGAAATACAAGTTCTATCTGGATTATTTTTGAATTTTCCAATAGGGCATTCTTAAACACAAATAGAGTTATTGAGATAATATCCTACGCTACAATTTGTACACGAATCCGCATTAATAATGCAGAATATCCATTTAAAAAATAGTAAACCCAAAATATTTAATCTTTTGTTCCTAAAGATTAATTGTCTGCCATTACATCAGTATTATTTTTTAGTATAATTTTATTAATAATAAAATTATTTAAATTCTTCTCCATACATATTTTATCCTGTATATTACATAAGGACCATACGAATTTGGCTTTTTACTATTTAAATAACTTAATCATTTATTAAAAAACTCATATAGTTCAAATTACATCATAAATTTATCAATATATATTTAAATTAAATTTATATTTTAAATAAAAAATTAGGAATATAAATTTAAATATTCATATTAAAATTAAGGTAACCTATATTTATATCCCCTTAAAACTCAATCTTATTAATTTTATTAAGTAAAATATTTTTATTTAAAACATCATTTTAACATAGTTAAAGATCTTTTTATAGTATTAAATAAAGCTAGATAAATATGATAAAATTTTATTATTTTATTTTAATCATTGTTTTAAATATATATTTATTTTTATTTAAATGTAATTAATTTTAATAATTTTTTTATTTTATTTTGTTAATAATAATTTATTTAATTTAATTAATTAATTAATTTTTTTTAACATTTTATTCATAATTCGTAAAAATATATAAATTTTAATTATTAAAAATTTATCAAAAAATATTAATTTAATTAAACATTTATTTCTAAATTAAAAGATTAAATATAATTAATTATAGATGAATAATTTACAATTTAATTGTAAAATATAAAATTTTATAAGTCATAATTTTTAAAAAAATTATATAATAAATTAATTATTTATTCATCAAAAATAAAAATTTAATTATTTATTTTATTTTATTCTATTACATTATTTATATTTTTATTTATATTATAATTAATCATAAAATTAAAAAGAATATTTTAATGATTTTATTTTTTTTATGTTTTTATTTAATATAAATAATTATATTTAAAAATTTTTTAAAAAAAGTAAATTAAAAAAAAATGAATAAATTGTTTTTAATATTTTTAGTTTTATCTTTAGTTTTTTGTTCTTCTAAAACTGATGTAATAATAACATTCATACTATTATTTTTTATTATAAATTATAAAATAGAATAAAAAATATAAATACTTAGTATTTACTGAATAATGTTATAATACATATTTTGTAAACCATTAATTAACAAATCCAGAATGTTTTAAATTAGTAAAACAAAAAAAATACAAAAATATATCCAAAAAAAAAAGACTCTCTCAAAAACTTTAGGAATAGCTATTGTTACCTTATCAACTATTCTAAAAGTACCATAGATTATTAAGATAATTTAAAATAAATCAGTTTAAGGCTTATCTTATTCATCTTTGATTTTTGAAGTAATAATATTTAAAAAAAACAATAATAAATTAAAAATTAGTGTCTCCTTTATCTTTTTACTATTAGTTATAATCTTTATATTTAAAGTCCTTTTAGTTTATACGGAGAAAATATTTTTATAATTTTCTAAAATATCATTATTATGTGTCTTTTTAATGTATATGATAAAAAATTTTCATTATTTAAACTTATTACAACTTTTATTTTTATTGGAGGAATTTCAGCACCTCTATTGCTTTAAATTGTACCAAAATAAGCCTTTGATTTATCAATTATAATAAATATGATTATGTGTAAATAAATAATTAATAGAAAATATATTTTTTATAAAAAAAAAGTTTCATGTAGCAGATTACCTTAAATGATAAAAAATTTCAAAGATAAAAGTACTGGATAGCTTGCTCTTGCAACCTTCTTTTTAAATTTTAGTGGAGCTATTGCAAGAACTTTCACTATTTTTACAGAATCACCAAATATGCTTATTTTGATTTCAAACTTTTAAGCTGTAATACTGAATGGAATAATCTTTTTGTAAATTCTTTTAATCGGAAATAGATAAAATAAGAAAATTAAAACTAATTGATATATATTTACAAATTCTTTAATTTTTTTTTTTAAAAAAATGTTTATTTTATTGATAAATATAGTTTAATAAATAATAATTTTTTTATTTTTATATTAATAATAATAAAATATCTTATATAAAAATTATTATTGTTGATAAATATATAAATTTTTATATAATTTAAAGATATTCAATATATATATTATTATAAAATAAATATTATATTATTTAAAACTATGAAAATGTATTTTTTTTTATTTATTTTAATAAATATTTATTTAAATAAACCATTCTATTTTCCATTTATATTAATTTTATTTTTATATTTATTATTCTTAATTGAAAATACAAAAATTTAATTTCTTAGTTTATATAATTTATTTTATGTAATTTTTTTATTTTACTTAATTTTTTTTATAAACTTCAAAAAAAATAAAAACATCATTATTATTCTTCTTTAACAGAAATAATTTTTTTAATTGTTTACAATTTATCTTGAAGATTATTTTTTTCGCAAACTTAATTTTCTAACTATTTATATAATTCATTCCACTGCATAAAATTATATTATTATAATTTTTATTTATATAATATTACTTATTTCTTTAAAATGTTTATTTAAAATTAAAGCCTCTAGTTGTCGTTTTCTAAAGTTTAATTTTCATTCATAATTTATTCAAGCTTAAACAAAAATAAAATAAAAATAATATAAATAATTTTTTTTATGAAACTTATTGATTATTTTCTTGTTTATAATTATTAATAATTTGATAATTTTAGCAATTTCTTTATCCAAATTAGCAAGTTAATTTTTTAATTTAATTATAATTTATAAATTAAAATATTAGCTTTATTTATAAGCACTAACTTTATCATTTAAATTTTTAATAATTTAATTCTATTCTTCTATTTAATTATGAGCTATTTAGAGTTGTGATTTTAAAAAAATTCTGATTTGTTTTAAATTTAAAAGCTATTAGAAAATCTCCTAATCTTCTTCGAATTTTTATTATTTTTCTTATTTTAGTAAAAACTATTTTAATGATACAATATCTATTTATTCGTTTTTTTAGTTTTTTTATTTATATATCTTTTCTAATTCATTTTACAATTACTATTAAGCTTTTAAAGCTATTGAATAAAATATTATTTTATAACCTAAAGGAGATAATATTAATTTATAAAATATTTTGTTTACTAATAATAATTTTAATATATCTTTATCTTGTAAAAAAATCAATATTTTTTATAAAATAAGTGTTTTTGGTAATATAAAAATTGAAGCTTTTGAATTAATTTAGGCTTTTTATTATTAAAATTATTAGTTTTTCAAAACAATTAGTTTATTAAGTTTTCCTAATACTTATTATATTTAATTGTTTATATTTTGTTTCTATATTTCATTATTATTTTATTAAAGAAACATTTTTATTTTTATATAAATCTAAAAAATATATATAATATATACTAATAATTTAATAAAATATTAATTTATTTAATTAAACTAACAAAAAAATATAATTATTAAAGGTAATATTTTTTCTTAATTATAAGCATAAATATGTTTATTATAATTTTTTTTTGAAAAAATTCCCCCGAAAAATAATAACTCCTCTCATTTACTTTCTTACTTTTTTTAAACAAATTTAAACCATCTATGAAGATTAGGATAAATTTTACTATCAATATGTTAATTTTTAATTTTTTAATATTCTTAAACATCGATATCTCCTAATTCAAACCCTTCCTCTTATAAAAATACTTAATTTTAAAGAATATTATCTATTTTTTTGAATTCTTCATTAATACTACTTTTGAAAGCTTTATTCCATTAATTTTATTCAGCTTTAGAAGGAGGAATATTAATAGATTTAAAGAATGCAATTAATTCATCTATACTGAATTTACCCTAATATATATATATTTAAATTATATTTATTTATTTACAATTCTTTCTTATTTATCTCTTTCTCTTAAATCTACATATTAACCTTTTTTTTCTTCTTCTCCTACTACTGCTATATAATTGAATTATTCTAATTAAGCATTTCTAACTTTTTTATTAAGAGTGCATTCAGAAACATCGACATAAGCTTAAAATCCTTCCAATTTCAAACGAATTTTTATACTTTCGCAAAAATCACTAACTTTACTAACTATACTACAAATAATAACCTATTTAGGAGAAAGCCAGAAAGGCCATTTTCCAGCAGTTTATTCGCAAAGAATAGCCAGGAATCTTTCAAAAGACCCAATTACAGCTCTATGTAAAATAACAGGTCTTTAAAAACCTAATTTAAGATGATGCTAATTAACAACATATTTCTTATCTGATTAATGAGTATTCTAATGCGAATGTTAAGTATCTTAAGAAAATTATGCGTCTTTAGATTATAATTTACTATTAGAATTATTATTTTATTAATCTACAGATTTTTTATCTACTCTAAGCACTTCTCTTAAATCTTAATGTCCTCCATCTTAGTTTTTTTTTCTTCTACGATTTCTTACTCCATAATTTTTAGTTCTTATTTTTCTTCTGGTAAAAGGAAATTATCATCCCCTTATTATTTACTTTATTATTCTTATTTTTTTCTTTATTACTCGATTTCGTCTTTACTCTCATTTGCTCTATATTATAAATTAAATCTAATAGGTAAATTAAAATCTAATTAAATAGTTCCACATTAATGTCCTCTTTTAAACGCATCGTATAATTAAATATCTATTTTAGGTCCATAAAAAGCCCCATCCCCATGTTTAACAGTCCAATGCTTTCCGAAGGCATTTAACCCTTCTCTTAGTGAATTTTCAGCCTAATCCCATTATTCTTTTTCCCCTAAATAACACTCTGGTCTCGTAGATAATGCTAAAGTATACTCAAAACCAAAAATACTATATATATAATCAATAAAATCTAATGCATTCTTAATTTCTTCCATAATCTAGTCCATAGTACAGAATATATGAGCATCGTCCTATTAAAATCTTCTCACTCGAGTAAGTCCTGACAAAGCCCCATGTACTTCATTTCTATGTAAAACTCCAAAATCAGCATATCTTAGAGGTAAGTCTCTGTATGATCTTTAAACTGAATCAAAAATAAGACAATGCCCTGGACAATTCATAGGTTTTAATCCATGAATTTCATTGTCGCTATTAACGAGGAACATATTTTCTTTATATTTTGTCCAATGTCCTGAGATTTTCCATAGTTAAGAATCATACAAGTTAGGTGAAATAACCTCCGAATAACCTCTAATTAAATATTATTAACGTAAAACTTCCATTAATTTATTATATATGCAAGCTCCATTAGGGTAAAAGAAAGTACAACCAGGAGAAAATTAATGAAAAGTAAATAATTCTTGCTATTTTCCGATATTTCTATGATCTCTTTTGGCTAATTCTTCCTATATTTTTACGTATTCTTCTAATTGCTTTTTAGAAGGAAATGAAATTCCATATACTCTTTATAGAATATCATTATCTTTCTTCCCAAGCCAATATGCAGATGAGTTTTTTAAAACTTTAAAGGCTTTCACTCTTCCAGTATTAGGTAAATGTGGACCAGTGCATAAATCGATTAATTTTCCGCATTTGTAGGCTGTAGTAATTGCGTTTTCTGGTATTTTATTAGTTATTAATTATACTTTGAAGGGATTATGTCTGAATAATTCCAAAGCTTGAGCTTTTGTTAAATATACTTTTTGGAAATTCTGTTTTTCTTAAATAGTTTTTTCGACTGTTTTTTCAATGTTTTTGTAATCACTTTGGGTTATTTTGCATTCTCCCATGTAAGAATCATAAAAAAAACCATAAGATAATGCTGGGCCAATACATAAATGAGCTCCGTAGATTAATTCGATTGATTATCCTAGTATATGTGCGGAACTATGCCAGAAAACCTATATTTTTATATATAAAATTGGATTAATTATTATTTTTATTTACTTATTTTCCTAAAGGATCCTCAAAATCTACTAGTTCTAATTAACAGTCTCCTTCTAAAGGTCTTGTTAAGTCATAAACTTCGAATTTTCGTTCAGTTTCTCCATCACAGCATAGATCGCATTACTCTTCGTCAATATTTTCGTCAGCTTCAGGGTCTATACATTAACCGATTTTCGATAAAGGGTTTTCGTATTTTTTGGTATAAGTAATCTTAGCTGCGTGTACATTTTCGGCTAATTTTTTAGAAATACCAGTAGCAATAATTAAAGGGGTAGTTTCAAAAGCTCTTCCTTTTAATTATTTTCCATCCTTTAATGTTATGGTTATTTCAGGCTTTTCACATCCAGACAATAATTTTTATTACTCTTCGTAAATAGAGTCGAAATATTAACATCTTTCGTCCAAAAAAGAAGAATTTGATGTTTATTTAAAGGCTCCACCAATTAAACCTTAGTTTTATTAGGCGATTGTACCGTCGGTAAATGTGGTTTTTTTTCCAAGATCGGCCATTTTTTTTATTTTAATTTATTTTTATAGTTTTTAATTTTCGTTTAGATATTTTTTTTATATATGTTAATATAAATATATGTATTGTATATATTAATTTAATTATAATATAACATAAATTTTTATTCGTATTTAAATAGACAATTATATTTTTAATTTTTATTTAAAATAGATATATATAATTTAAACATTTTACAATGGAGAGTAAAAAAAAAATTTGCTAATATATTAATTATATTTTATATTTTTTATAATTTGCAAAAAAATAATTTTTTTTTTTTAAGATTTATGAAAATAATAAATATTTATTAAATAATAAAATTAAAAATTATACAAAATAAAACCGAATTTTATGTAAAAATTAATATATATAAAAAAAAAAATTTAATAATTTTATTTATATTTAATATTATAAAATGAATATAAAAATTTAATAATTAAATTAAATGTATTAATTTATTAAAATTACGATTAAATTTTTAATGAAATTATTAACCAAAAATTAATTGAAAAATAAATGAGAGAAAAAGAAATATTGACTTTTATATTATTATTGTGTTTTTAAAAAAAATTAAAAACACAAATAATAAAAAAAATTGCTAAATGTATTTTATAAAAAAATGTGAATATAACTCCTAAATAACAAAATCTTAAAATTTAAGTTTTGAATATATTATCATATATAAATTATTATATATAAAAAATAAATATTGATTAAAATAAGTAAGTATAAAAATATTTAATAAGTAGAATATAAAGAATAAAAAATAATATTTACAGAAAACGAAAAATGAGATAAAAATAAAAATTAGGATAAGATAAAAAAAAAAAAAATTAAAACATAAAAATAAAAGAAATATAAGTTATTAATTAAAAATAATTATAAATATATTTTTATTTAAAATAAAAATGTAGGGATAAAAAGAATAAAAATAATGAAAAATAAAATTATTTATTAAATATATAAAAAATAAAAGATATTAAAAGTATTAAAATATGTATAAAATAAATTAAATTAATAATAAAAAGAAAATATAAAAAAAAAGATATATGTATATATATATTTATATAATATAAATATTATTTATATTATATTATATATATATTTATATATTTATATTTATATTTAAAAATATCTTAAATATAATTATTATGATTTTTTTTTTTTATAATATTAAATTGAAATTTTTAGATTTATATATATTAAATATTTTATATATATTTATTATTTTATATTATTATAATATATAATTTTATATATAATAAAAATATAAATTTAATTGATATATTTTTTAATTTTATATAATATTTATTTTTATTTTAATGAAACATTAAAAAAAAAATCATAAATATATAAAAAATAAAAAATATAAGTTCAAATTAAAAATTGTATTTTTTTTTTTTTTCTTTTTAAAATATTTTTATTTATTTAAAATACAATAAAAACTTTATTTATAAATTATTTTATAAGATTTGTATTATTAAAAAAAAAATTAATTAAAAAAGATTTAAATCTTTTATATTTTATTTTATATTTTGTTAAATAGAAATATAATAAATAATTAAAATAACATCAAAAATAATAAAAATAATATTTATTAAAAATAATAAGTTAATATTAATAATATATTTTTTTTAAACAAAAACACAAAAAAAATACGATTACAATAAACATTTTTTAAATTTAAATGTAATATTTATTACTTATTAAATTTTTATGTTTATCAGTATTTAAATTTTAGATTTTTGAATACTTATATTTATTAATAAATCATATTAAAAATACATCAAAAAATTATTAATTAATGCCTTTATTAAAAATATTATTTATTAAAAAATTTTAAAAATATGTGTTTATTCTTTCTGCATTTTAATGGAAATTCATTGATAATTATATTTTGCTCATTATCATTATTGTCGGATATAATCTATTTTTATTGGGTTATAATATGAAAATTTATATTGATATTCCTATCCGATATTCAAAATATAAATATAATTTAAATATATATTGATAGATCCATGTGATTCAACGGATTATATTTTTTTTTTAATTAAATGAATAAGTTATAAAAAAAATAAAAATCAAATGAGAATAAATTTTATTAATTATAAAGATTTTCATATGGAGAAGAATTATAGGAATTTAATGATTACGAAAATTATAGTTAATTAAATATAAAAATTGATATAGTATATATTACTAATAATGCAGCAAACAGTTAAATTTCTACGAATAAGAGATTTCTATTTGCGGGGTTTTTTTATTTTAAATTGATTGTCTGCGTGTGTTGATACGGTTTCATGTGCAAATTATAATTTAGGATTTTACCTAAATAGCTTTATTTGTATTTAAGAATGTGCTATTGGTAATATTAAGAATGATTTAAATCATATTTAAAATTAAATTTAATATAAATTAAATTCAAATAAAAATAAAAATAAAATTTTTGACAGAAAATAAAGAGGATTATAATAAATTTTGGTTAATATATGACTTAAAATAAAATAATAATTTATTTATAAGAAAACACAGAAAAATATAAATTAGATTATAAAGTAATTGAATTATTTTAATATGCTATATAAATTTATTAATATAATTATTATAATAAGATATATTTATAACAAACAAAACTTACCTATATATAATAAACTAAATATTCTTAAAGCAATCTTAATATAGAAAATATAAATAGATGAAATTTGAATAGATATATACTACTAAAATTATATATATTGTATAAAATGAATAATTTTCTTCATTAAATAATAAAATATTTATTTATAAAAGGAATAAATAATCGTTTTAAATTTACTATTTTTTCATTATAAAGAACTTAATCTATAAGAAATATATAACTTTTAAACGCATATAATTCAAATAATTTTAATTTAAAAAAATAATTATCAATTATAAAGCATGGGCTAAAATTCTTTTGTTCATTTGATTTAATAAAATCTAATTTTATATTTGAGGATAAAAGTTGTATTTAAATTTAATTTAAGAATTTTCGATTATATACCTGTCAAATAAAAAAAAATCAAAGAAATTAAGAAAACTCGAAAAAAAGTTTTATTTTTTAATAAACTGATTGATAAATATTAGTGAACTTAAATAAGGAAATAAAAGTACATATGTCTTTTATTAAACTTTGAGAAAAAATCTGTTTTCATATTTACAAATCTTTTTTATTTTATTAATAATATAAATTTATAATATTTGATATTAAAAAATAAATATATATTTTTATTGTAAATTTTAATACATTAAATAAAAAGTTTAAGAAAGAAGAAAAAAATATATATATAAAAGTTATTAATCAACTTTTATTTGGTAATAAATTTTTATTTTAACCTATAAACTTTTTTTTATTTAAAAATTATATAAAATAAATATATAAATGGACATTAAAAATAAAATCATAAATTATTAATATTTATAGATAATTTAAAATTTATAAGAATATAGTTAATTATATTTTAATATATATATATATATATATAAGCTCAAATATATAATTTAACATCAAAAAAAAAATTTTAATACATTTTTTTAATTATTTTATTTTATTTCACTACTCAGTTTCTATATATTTCATCTCTAGCTTTATAAAAAGCTTAAAGTTTTTTTTCTACTTCTTTATCATTAATTTTACTTACCTAAATCATACTAGTATTAGCACTAGTATTATTATTATTAATAGTAGTAGTGTTATTATTTATATTAGTTAAAATATTACTTGTAATACTTTGATTTTTCAAAGTCATTTATTATCTTTATTAAGTCATAACTTAAAGCCACTTTTCAAAATCTTATTACATTTTGTCTTTATTTCTTTATAGTAATTTTTATATATTTTCGATTTCAGCTTTAATATCTTTCAAATAATTAAAGTTTTCTTTATATCTATATCATTTTTTGTTTTTTAATATAAAAAATAAAATATAAATTTTTACATCTTTTTTTATTCTTCAATATTATTTAATAAATTAACCTCTTCAGGATGTTTATAATCTTCATTTTCTCCTTCTAGAAGTCCTTTTAGGGCTCTTTCTTTTCTTAAATCTTCAATCTTTTATAAAAATATAATATATAATAAACGAATATTACTTCGTAAAAAAAAATACAATTATAAAATAAAATAAATACAATGTTTTTCATCTAATCAATTTTACTTCTTGCATTATTAACTTATTATCCTAATTATCTCGCTTTTTCGAATTTTTCTTTCAAAACATTTTTATTTTCTTCCATAACTTAATTTTTTCTATAACTTTTTCTAAAAATTTCAAAACAATTAGCCCTATCCATTAACTATTCGTTAGTGAGATTTAAAGGTGCTAAAAGCATTTCATTTACTTCATTATTTTACAAAAGTGATTATCTAGCTTATGTTAAAATAGATTAAGTATGAAAAGTATTGACATCTTATATATTTTCTTTTGTTTTTGATTCTAAATTATTGGGTTATACATTTTTTTAATACTTTTATTAATTTCCTATTATGCTTTATTATAATTATTCAAATTAAGGAAAATCGATTTTTTTTGGAGAATTTTATCTTATTAAAGAATTTTCATTTAAATTAATTTCGTTGTTTTCTCTATATACGGGTACACTAATACTTGCTCCTTTGTTTTTATTAACTAAATTTAAAAGAATCATTATTTCATTATCTCTTTATTAAACAAGTAACTTAAGTTTTTTAATTTCTTCCTCTAAATGATTATATTGGACATTTTTTAGTGTATTTTAAGCATTTTCATTTAAACCGCTTTGTTTATTAATAATTTAATTTTAAGGATTATTATTTTACTTTAACTAATTATTTATTTTATGTTTCATTTAATAAAAACATTCATTAATAAATAATCTGTCACCTAAAAAAAAATATAAAAATATAATTAAAATAAAAAATATGTATTACTTAAAACGAGTTAAAAGGAAGGATCTGAATGATTAATATATTCTTCAACTTTTTATCTACAAATATCTATATCATCTGCATCTAATTTATCTTTAACATCTATTAAATAATAAATAAAGATATAAAATAATATAAATATATAAAAATATATGAAATGTATATTTGTATATATATATATAATAATATCTTTAATTAATATATTTATTTTAGACAATATTATTATTTATATTATAAAAAAAATTATATATACTTTCTCCTTTTAACAAATTAATTTCTGCCTTTAGTTATGCATTTTCCCTTTTCAGTCTTTCAATAATAACTGCAGGATCTACTGCCTCATTTTTAACTACATAATTTTTTACCAAAGCAACCCTTTACGCAAATTTGCAAGTCGAAATACTTTCTAAAATATCTGGTTCTTCGGCACTTATAGTAGAAATCATTTTCGTTTTACAATTTCCTCCTAAAGAGTCTCTTAAAATAAGCGTCATTAGCGAATTTCTATAGGGGACATGAATATTTTCTCCTTACGCCCTTTTATTTAAACATACTATAACATGTTCTAAAAAATGCAAGCTTAAATTTATATTTCTTGCCTCTTTTTCCAATTTTCCTTCTATTCCTGTATTTTTAATTCTTTCAGAACCGGAAAGATCCACCAAATGAATTCTACTCATAGTTTTTACATCCGAATCAGTTTTTCTACTTTCTATCATTATCGTAAAAATACAATGTGACCTAGTCGAAACATCATTTTTTGGAGTTTCGCAAACCGCACGGTTTACATCACCTATATATAATAAATTTAAGGCATCTTCTTCATTAATTGCTTTATGTATTGATAAACCGCTTAATATAATTTCCTCATTTTCAGTTTCACGGGGAATTACGGCTTTTAAATCTTCAATTTTTTTTGCGGAGTGATTTTCGTCTAGGAGGTCATAGCCTTAATTATTGTATATTTCTATATATGAAATTGATATTTGGAAAAAATAGTTATCTAACTTTTTAGTTTATTAGAAAATATAACTCAATGTTCGAGGGATTATACCTCGATCTTCATAACTATCAGGCCCTCCGGTCATTGTAAAAGTTTTACCAGAACCAGTTTGACCATAAGCAAATATAGTTCCATTAAATCCTTGTAATGCAGAATCGCATACTTCTTGGGCAATGCTTTTGAAGACCTTTTCTTAAGAAGATTTTTAATTCAATAATTTATCAAAAGCAAATGAATATGTTTCTTTACTATTGTTTACGTAACCTTATTAGATGTCTTTAAGGATTTTAAAGTCAATTTTATTATCCTCTTCGAAGGTATCTATATTTTTTATTATTAACTTATTTATTTATTTTATTTTACTTATTCCTTGGTATGTTTTTTTTGTTGGACGAACTCTTAAATATATCTCGATTGCTTTATTATTTTACATTATTTTTAATGTTATTTAATATTTTATAACTATATATTAGTTTTGTTTTTGTTTAAAGTTATTAAAATAGTATAATTTTTTAAAATTTTTTGTTTGAGATTTAAATATTATTATTATTTTTTATATTTAACATTAGTCTTTTTATATTAAATAATTTTATATGTAAATTTAAAAACTTTATTAACTTTGTTTTTTATAAAATTTCAATATTTTCTTTTTTTATATTATGTAAAAATTTATTATTTTTTAAAAAAAAAACAATAAAAAACTGATAATTAATTATTATTTTTTTATACTTCTTTTTCACTTTAGGAACAATTTTTCGAAAAGATCGCATTATATATAGGTAATAAAAATTACTTTGAGATTGAATTCTTAATATATGAAAACACTATTTTTATTATTTTCTAATTATAATTCGATAAATTTATCATTTTTTGTATATATATTTATGATTTCGTTTTTCATTTATTAAAACACATTTTCTATTTAAACATTAAATTAATATCCTTTTAATATTATAATTTAAATAATTATAATATAATTATTTTATCACAACTATAATTATATATTCATATCAATTGTTAATTTTCATTTATCCTATTAATATTTATTTGATTCTATTATGAATTATTTTTCATATAATTTATTAATATAATTACTCCTTAATTATAATAATCAAATAATATAAAAACAATAATTCAAAATTACTTCAAATTATTTAATTCTTAACAAGAATCACATTATTTCAAATTAATTAAATTTAATAAATCATCAAGAAAATAAATTCATTTATTGTAAATTATCAACAACTTATTTAAGCAAATAAAAGCCTTCGAAACATTATTATCAATAATAATTTAAAACAATTGAATATTAAGGGCATTAACATTAACCTAAAATTCTATTTCCAAAAGGCCTTTAAAAGTTATGCCGTTAACACATAATTTACATTTTTTGCCACAAAATAAACATTTTTTTTTACTTGCATTTTTATATTTTTCTTCTAGAAAATCTATTAAGCAAATTTGGTTCTCAAAACAATAGCCTTAAAAACAGTTTTAGTATGAAGTTAAACTAGTACAATTTTCATATTTTCTATCACATGAAGTAAAAATTCTATTTGAATAATTTTTTAAACTTACCAATAGAACATTATTAAACACAATTAGAATTACTTTGATTAAATCCTAAAGTACAATTAGTACAAGAAACGGTATCAATACACTCAGAACATCCATTTAAACAATAAAAAATATAAAATATGAATTCTCTCATTCCTAAAGATTCATTGTTTAGTTTTTCATCAGATGAAACTTTTAATTTAAGTTTTATATTTTATTAACTATAATTTTAGGAATAGTTAAATTGAGTAAATTCTTCTAAATTTATATAAATAATTTCCGGATAATGCATAAGGACCATATAAACCTTGAATTGGCTTATTTACTGTTTAAATAACTCACTCATTTATTAAAAAAATAGCATAGTTATTTTAATCATAAAAACATATCAATTTATATTTATATTTTAAATATAGGATCAGGAATATCAATAGAATTAAACATATACATATATTATATCCATATAATAATGATTATAAGGCACAATCAAATATCTATTAAGTGATTTAAAATTTAGAAACAATAAACCAAAATATTGAGTATTTTATTATGTAAAATATTGTTAGTTTAGATATTTTTTAAGATTTTAAATGACTTAATAATGGGATTAAATAAATTTATATAAATATTATAATAGTAAATCTATATAAACATATAATATTGATTAAAATCAATTTTTATTATTTTTAATTGAAAATAATTTATTCTTTTTAATTGAAAAAAATTTATTCTTTTTTTATTTATAAATAATGACTCTTTTCTATAAAATTTCGTATTTAAGAAGCTTTATCAGAATTAAAGTTCAATAATATTATTGAATATAATTAGTTTTATTATTTATTTGAAAAAAATTAATAAAATCTTTTTTTTGTTTTATTTTTTATTTTTTGGTTTTTTCATTTTTTGATTTTGGTTTTTCAATTTCTAAATTGTATTTTTATATTTAATTATATATTTTATATATAATATTTTAATTTTAAGTAATTTGAATATTTATTATAACTTGATTATTTTTTTAAAAAAATAATTATTATATAAATTAAATTCGTATAATTAAAAAGTTTATATCAGTTAAATATTTGATTAAATAAAATAAATTATAATATTTTTTTTATTAAAAAACAAATAAAATCTTAAATTTTTTAATCAATAAAAAAAAGAAAAGTTTACTTTCTTTATAAAATAACTAAAAAATTATAATTAAAATTAAGAATATATTCGAATTTTAAGTAATCTTATTTATTTATTTATATATTAAAATAAGAAATAGTGCTTATTTTAATTGTAAAAATATTGTTAATAAAATTAAAAATATTCTAATAAAATATATAATATTTTTTTTTAAAATAATATAAAATAAAATATAAAATTTAAAAAAAAAATGAATAAAATTGATAATAATACTGACGGTAAAACAAAATAATCTTTTTTTGTATTAAAAAAAATAAAATAAGTATATTATTTTGGAATAAATTCCTGTTCACCTAATTTTGAATAATAAAAAGGTTAAAATTTAAATAAGTAAGAAAAGAAAATATAACTTATTTTTTTATTTTAATTTTTTTATTTTCTAATTATAAAGATATATTTAAAAAGTAGATTTTTAGGATTATAATAATGATTTTTTTTACGGTCGTAAGTAAAAGCAAAAAAGACATAATTTTTAAAAAATATTTTGTGGAGCAAATTTTACAATACTTTAAGATAGTAAAAAATTTATATATATATAATTAAAAAATAAATTTTATAATTAGAAAAAAATTAATTATGGTCATTTGGTTAGGGTATAGACGGGTAATTAGGAATATGTAATATATATATATATATATATAAATATATATATATATATATATATATATATATATATATTCATATATATATATATATATATATAATTATACGTTTTTTAATATATAATAATAAATTAAAAAGCTTCAACTCCTTACTTATAAAAATAACCATCTTAAATAAAAACATATAATCATGAAAAGTAAATACAATTTCTATAAGTTTCATGTGGAGATAACTATGCATTGTCTTTAACAGGTTTAATTAAAAAAATTAAAATTCAAAAATTAATTTAAAAATAAAGATAATAATAAAATTTATGCTTGGGGTGATTGTTAATAATATAAACTATCAATTAAATCATAATAAAATATTTTTATGCCGATTGATATAACCCAAAATGCAATAATAAACACATTAAAAGATGATACGAAAATAAAGAAACATAATCAATAACAGAAAGTATTCAAATAGAATTTATATCAACTGGAACAGAATATTCTTTTATAAAAACAAATGATAAAATAATCGCATTTGGACTTGATTTAAACGGAAGGATTGGTATCGGAAACATAAAAGAACTTCCTATATAAAGCATAATATGGAAAAATTTAGAAAAAATTGTAATTAAGGGAATTTCTTGTGGAAAAAACCATTCTATTTTATGGGATGAAGAAGGTTCTGTATATAGTTGGGGGCTTTCAAACAATGGAAAATTAGGACATCCGATAGAATATGGATGTAAATTTGAATAAATATAATCTTTTCCGAAAAAAGTAAAGGAAATTTAAAACGAGAAAATTGTATAAGGAATTTGCACTAATAATAGTACCTTTGTTTTAAATCATAAAGGAATTTTATTTTGCTGGGGTTAAGGAGATTTTTCATAAAGAGAAAACAGAAATATGATGGAAAAAATTTATCCAAGAAAAATTAGTATACTAGATTAGAAAATGAAAGAAGGTATGGTTATATTATTAATAATATAAAATTTTAATAATTTATATTCATATGTATGAAATTATTAAAGTAAGGTTGATCAAAATTTGCGGAAAATATAATAATATGGCAGCTATAGATTATTTAAATAGAGTATATACTTGGGGATAAAATATAGAAGGATGTCTAGGTCATGATGATAATATACAAGAAGAAAAAGAAGAAGTTTTAATTCCAAAAATGATATAAGAACTTAAAGACAAGAAATGCATAGATATTGGATGTGGAGATAAATTTACAGTTGTTATTATAGCGAGGAAAAATACTGCATTTTAAACTTAATTTAAAAAAGAATTCGAGAATTCTATAAAGTAAGAAGCTATGAAATAAATAAAAATTATAAAAGATTATAATAAAATAAAAATGTAAATAAAAGATGATTAAATATTAAATTAATAAGAAATTAATAATGATATATATAAATAAAATAAATATGTATAAAAAGGTATTAATTATAAATTTAAATATATGTATATAAAAAAATAAATAAATGTATATGTATATATATAATTTTTATTTATATATATATATATATGTATATTATTTTTATAAAAAATAAAAGAATAGAATTTGTAATAAAAATAAGTTACAGAAGAAGAAGTTGAAAAAATGAAGAAAATTTATACTTTTTGTAAAAATTAAGTACCGAAAGAACTTAAATATTAGAAGATTAAAGCAGACCTATTTAAACTACAATAAATAGTTAATAATTTAATATAATAAAAACTTAAACTTCACAACAACAAGAAGAAGAACAAGAACAAGAAGAACAAGAATTAGAAGATTATTTTTAAAACTCTAAAAATTTAAATTGTATCGAAAAAAAAAGATAAAGTATTATATAATCAAAAAGTATATAAAAAAAAAATTAATAATATTATAATCCCACATATACCCCTAAAAGTGAAGTTTTATAAACCCTTTCGAAATTTTCAAATAATTTCTATGTAAAATCAGTAGCAAATAACCCTTATATATAAGAAATTGCCCAAGTAGAATTTGACAAAGCCTCAACTCAAATTTTCTACAAGCAAGAAAATCTTTATTTACCTATAAATAAGACATAAACAGAATAAAATAATGAAGATTTAGAACCTTTATCTTCTTCTTAAATAAAAAAATAAACTAATTTTTAAAATAATTCTGAAAGACCCTAATTTATGTCTTAATAAGTTGATTTAATGAAATATGAGTATATAGAGATGGTTAAGTAAAATAGAGAAAATGACCATTTATTTTTTTTAATTGAAGATCCTTTTTAAGATAATAAATATATTCAAAATAAACTTTAAATGATATAATATAAACGATAAATAGAAGAAAAGAAGTAAAGGAATAAAGAAATTCTATAAAAAATATAAAAAGGATAATAGTTGGCAAATATTTAATTTCCTGAATTAAAATAAAACTTACCATGGATTCAAAATACATTAAAAAATTAAAAAAGTATTCTCATGAATTAATATTGTCAAAGTCTAGATTTTAGAAATATATTATATTAGAAAAATAGAAATAAATATTTGCCTAAAAAAGACGAATAAACAAAAATTTAAGGATAAATTTTAAATGAGAAAATTTAAAAAGCAAAAGAAAAAAAAGAAAATCTTTTTTTATAAAAACATACGGAAATTGTTGATAAAATTTAAAAAAATTCAAAAGAATTTAAAGATTTTCAAGCATTAAATAAACACAAGAAAATTATTTTAAATAAAAAACTTCAAGTTTTTCTTTTTTATTTAAATACGGAAAATCTATTTTGTTTTATTAAAAAAACAGCCTAATAAGGTCTAATTTATAGAAAAAAAATGTTTAAAATGCATATGAAAATAAGAATTATATAAAATGCATATAGAAAATATTTAATTAATAAAAATATTATTAAAAAATTAAATAAAAAAATATATTGTTTTTTTAAAAGAGTAATTTTTAGATTTAAAATTAATAAAAGTATTAAAAAAAAAAAAAAATTTTCTTAAATTATAGCGAGACATTTTATTATTTAAAATATTAAATAAAAGATTTATCAAAAATTAATTATTTATTTAAATTCAATAAAAAGGTAATATAAAATAATAATATATATATATAAATAATATATATATATATATATATATATATATAATTAAATTTTTTCTTTTATTATTATTATTTTTTTTTTTTTTTTTTAAATTAAATAAAATTAAAGTATATTATTATTATTATTATTATTTTATAAAAAATAAATAAGCATTCAAAAATTTTTTTAATGGATAAATAATCAAACAAATTATTAAATAGGAATTATAAATTAATAATGTGATTCTTTAATTGCTAGTTTATATAAATTTTTAGATTAAGATCTTTATAAAATTATAAAAAAAGAATATACAACAAATAATTACTAGATTTAAGTTTATCTTAATTAATTAGATCTTAATCAATTAATAAAGAAGAAAACTAATAAATAATAATAATGAAAAATAAAACAATTTTATGACATACTAGGAATTTAGAAACTAAGTAATTTTTATATATTAAAATATATTTATATTAAAAAATTAATAATAGAAATCTCCAGTAAAGATAATAAATGTTTTTGTTTAAATATAAAAATAATTATCATTAAGTTCCGAAAATGATATAAAAGAAGAAACTATTTTACCTTTTACTGTCCATAATTTAAAAATTTAACTGCCAATAATATATAGATTAAAATAAGAAAGTGAAGCTGTTCATTAGAAAATATTCTAAAAGGCAATTTAATGGGAGATAAAAATAAAACATAATTTAATAAAAAATTATCTTAAAATGAAAAGAAAACAATACTCTATTTAACTTTAATAATATTATTAATAATTAAAAGATTTTATTTAAAAAAGTAAAGAAGAAGTTAATTTAGAAAGAACTTAATTAATGCTCAGAACATGTCCTTAAAAGTTACATTTATTTTAAAAAAACGAAGATTATTAATATTAAATTTAAGAAAATAGAAAAAGAAAGGAGTTTAAAGTAAAATTAAAATAATAATAAAATACATAATTTATATTTTTAGCAAAGTATTATATTAAAGATCATCTACCTTTTGGATTTTAATTACTATAAATAGCTTCTTAAATGAAAAACGCGCCAAAAAAACCTACTTTTAGGATAAATCTTTCTTAAAAGTATTTATATTGATTATATATTTTTATTTTTATTTATTTTTTTTATAAATAAAGATATTTTTAAGAAGTTATAATGAAATAATATCATTAAAAATTTGAAAAAACATATTTTTATCTTGCTTAAATGTTTAAAAAAAATAAACAGGATAACCATAAATAGAAGATTGAAAAAAAAAATAGACATATATATATATTGTATTTAAATATATTTAAAAAAAAAAACAAAAAATATAATAAAAAAAATTCAATTAAAAAAATAATCAATTAAAAAATAAAAAGATACATAAAAATACATATAAATATATATATCTATATATATTTAGTTTTTTATTTACAAAAAAATTAAATGATATTTAAACTTTTATAATTTTACAAATTTAGCACTTTTATCTCAAATGAATTTATAAAGCCAGGTAGAGGTTATTCTTTAGAATTTACAAGCGAATACATATCAAAGAAAATTTTAAACGATACCGCCCAATAAAATATAGAATTAATGCTTGGTAAATATCTAACATCTATTAAAGATACCAACTATAAATAAATTTAATTATTAACTACTTAAAACCTTTAAAAAAAGACATTTAAATGGATGAATTAGGTAAATTCAAATAAAGACTATAAATTTCATTTAAGTGATTTAGAAAATTAAAAAGTAAATACAAAAAGTCAATAATTATAAGGCTTTTATGCTTTTAATTTTATTTATGGACTTAATTTACAAAATATATAGCCTTTTAAAAGCTACATTAAGTTTAATTTTAAAGACAATTATAAATTAAGGAGAGTATTCTTTATTAAAAATTTAAATGTTTTTTCTTTATATAAGTATTAATTGGCTTATGGAGAAGCACTTATTTTCTCGCAATAGTAATTAAAAGTAGTAAAAAAGAGTTATTCGGAAAAAAAAGACTCAAAATTTAATACCTACCATGGATACAAAGTAAATTTCATTGCAGATAGTTGGAAAATGGATGAATTACCTTTAGGATTAATGGATAATCCAGACGAAAATATGATTAAATAAGCATTTTTAAGATGGAAAATTTGTGATATTAATGACTGGATTATTCAAGATACTAAAGATCCTGTATAAATGATATATAATAATATATTTTAAGAATAATGAAGATAAACAAAATAATTATAATTTAAAATACACACAAAAATATATATATATATATTAGATATTTGTTTAATTAATTATTTTATATTTTTCAATATTTTAATCCATTCCACCAATTTTAAAGTCTTTTTTTATTATAAACAGGTAATATAATATTATTAGTCTAAATATTGTATAATTTGCTATATTTAACATAAATAGGTTCAAACTAATACCTATTTTATGAATAAAAATCATACAAAAACACAAAGCAGTCAAAAAAATTTTAAAAAGAATTTTTTTCTTCAAATTTTTCTTAAAAATTAAATAAATTTTTCTTTTCCAAATTCTATTTACAATAAAGATTAGCCATAAAAATGCATGTATTACCTAACAAATCCGATTAAAACTAATAAGAATAAGTACTCATTAATAAAATATCAGAAAAAAATATACTAAATAAATATACACTAGCTTCCATTTTTAATTAACTTAATTTTATTTTCACAAAATGTAATACTGTTGGTATATTTAACTCGAAATCTAATAAACTTAAAATCTTCTTTTCCATATCTAATAATTGTTAAGTATTATATTCATCAGCTGTTATATATGCATATTCATTTGCATTTTCTTATTTATAATATTCTTTAGATTATTCATTAAATACACTATAAATATATTTATATATATATAAATATTAAATTTATTTAATTACTCAGCAATTTTCATACAAACAACACCAACTAATTATAAATTTTATTTACTTAATTTCATCTATTATAGAATTCTATATATATATATATATATATATATATATATATATATAGTTTTACCTGTCTACATATTAAATGCAATAATGTAAAGTTTCTTCTTCCAATTAAAAATGTAAACTAACATCCATTAACCAATCAACTAAAATTACTCTCATTTGCTCATTTATATGTTCTTATTTTTTCATATAAAAAGGTTCTATTTTTAATTTCTATTATACGTTTTACAAAAACTTATAAATCTAACCTTCCTAAACTATTTATTCTGTATGTATTTCCTTAAAAAAATCATGTTCTAGGCATTCTGCGCATGATATTCTTTCTTTAGGATTAAGTTTTATCATTTTACTTAATAAATCCATACCAAGAGGTCCCAAACAATTCGCTAAACTTTTCAATTTTTTAAATTCAACATCTCTTTTTGGCAACATAATCTTCTTCAATCTCTCCTCTTTTCCACATGCATCATTAATATCCACCATATCCCACTTTGGAAACATTAAATTATAATCCTAATTATCACACATATCTTAAAGCACAGCCGTAGTAGGAGAACCAAGAAGCTTAAAAACTATAAAAAGTTACTTAATTTCCGAATCTCCCTAAAATAAAGGATCTCCAAGTACACATTCTGCTAAAAGACACCCCAAAGACCACACATCAACTTCTTAAGAATAAATAGATTTTCTCAGTAGTAATTCAGGGGCCCTATACCATAATCTTCTGGCCTCCCGACTTGATCTCTCTCTATCTTTTGGATCTTCAGGTGTATATGGAATATGTGGGAATGTAACTTATCTAGAAAGAGCAAAATCTGAAATTTTAATAGTGTTTTTTTCATCTAGGAGTATATTATCAATTTTTAGGTTTCGGTGCAAAATACCATTTTAATGTAAATAATTAACTCCAAGAAGTATTTAATGAAAAGTTTTTTTTAAAAAAAGTAAATTTGTTATTTATTCATTATTATTATTATTATTTATTATTGGATTTTTTTGTAAATATTCTTTTAGATTATATGGTAATTATTCATTTACTATTTATACATAAACACCATTTATTTCAGATTCTTTTAATTATATAATGTTTGGGTGTTTTAAATTTTTCAAAATACTTAATTCTCTTAATATTGATGTTGGAATACCATCATCTTGACCTGCATTGCTTATTTCTACATTTATTTTTCTAATTATTACCTTTTTTATGTAATATAAAAAAAATATTTTTATTATATTTTAAATATTTTTTAATAAATTATATAAATATATATATATATTTTAATATTTTTTATTATTTTAATATTATAATTTTTTTTTTTTTATACTTTTTCATCATTAAAACGAGAAATTGCCCTAAAAAGCTTTCCTTTAGATCTTCTTTCTACTATAAGCGATTGCTTCTAATATTTGTCTGAAATTGTAAATTTTTATATTCTTGCAAGATATTACCAAAATGGCTTACTTTTTAGGTACTAATAAAAAAATTAGTTTACTTTTATTATATTTGTATAGATTTCGTATGGTGAAAAATACGTTAAAATCTATATTATAAGCTCATTTGGAAGATTCTATATAGATAAATTACTCGTAAAAGATATTATATTTTTTTTTTAGTGAGATTTTACAAAGAAATCTATTTTTTAATATTTCTAAAGAGTGTTTATTAAATTTTAGTTGTTTTCTTAGGTCTTTACTGGGGAAACTGTATCTCTTGTTTTTGTATCGGTAATTTTTTTTTAATCATTTTTTTTATTTATGAGAGAATGTTTATAGTTTTAAATTATTATACTTTTAGTGAATGATATATATTAATATTTTAAATTTTTTTTTTTTTGAATATTTGCAAATTAATATATTTATTTTTAAAATTAAAAATATTAAAAGCATTAATAGGTTTAAAGATAAAATTATAATTTTTTTATATTTTATTTTTATTATTAAAATTTAGGAAATGTAAAAAAATATGTAAATTTTTTATTATATGCATTAATTTCAAATATATTAAAAATATAATATATTTGTAGTTAAATAAATTTATAAATTTATTTATATATCACAAATAATACATTAAATCTATTAATCATATAATAAATATATATAATTTATTTATAAATTACAAATAAACTATTTAATAATATATATAGATGCTAAAATTCATTAAATTTTTTTTATTATTTTTCATGAATTTATTATAAAAAATATAAAAAAATATTTTAATTTCATTATAATAATAGAAAATACATATATAAATTTTAATATTTATATTTATAAAATATTTATATTATGTAAAAAAAAAAATAGTAAATATTCATTAAATATTTTTATTTTATAAAAAAATCATTTAAATAAATTAATTAATTAAAAAAATTAATAAAAAAAATTTCTTACTAATATATACATATACATAACAAAATTATATATAATTCAATTTTTTTATTTAAATTATAGTTGCTATTATTAAAATATTTATTTAATTTAATATTTAAAAAATAAAATAACAATTTTCAGAAATTTTAACTATCACTTTCTAAATCAAATGAAGATTCCTCCTCATTTAAAATGGATTAAATTTAAATTTGATTTTATTAAATAGTATCAATTTATTGTTTATTATTTGAATCAATTGTAGAAATATTTATTGTTGTGCTGTTTTCTATAATAACACATAAAATTTTTTAAAAAACAAATATAAAAATATTTTTATACCTTATTAATTTAAGGGTTAATTTTAATTACTAGACAATTCTTCGTCAGAAATTTATTTTTTTTTCTCCTTTTTTTATTATTATTTATTCAGTTTCTTTTAGTGTTTACTCAATCTCAAGTTAACATATTATTCTAATTGTCTAGCAATTCTAACACTTAGTTAATTCACATCAAACGATAATTATTAATTATCAGAAAGTCCTTCTTTTTTTAAAATTTCCCAAACTCCATTATAAGCGTCTGGAGGTAACCTTTATATATTTTAAGCAAGAATTTACTTCTCCATAGAGTTCATAGGAGTATTTAATTTACTTTCATTATGTCTTTTTTATTAACTTCTTTCTTAAAAATTATATTTGCTTGATTTATTAATAACACTTAATTCCTTTTAAAGCATATTCACTTACTAATGTAAATTTTCCAAAGAATTATTATCGAAAATTTCGATTTTTTTTTATTCGAAAAATTAATCCATTTCTAAAGTTACTTAGTACAAATAAGAAGTCTTAGGATTATATATATAACTATTAGACCATATTTATCTAATATCAGAGAAGAACTATTTATCTGATCTGTATTTATTTTATTTTAATTTATTTTATATTGTCTATAAATCCATTGGGTTTGTAATTATTTAAAGATAGTCTGGACAGCCTTATGTTAAAGGGTTCACGGGTTATAAAAAAGGGGTAGATTTTTTGTGCTTTTATAAACAGGCTAATAATTGGGCATATTTTTAACATTTAGGATTTTTTTATAACTATTATTAATTTTATTTTTTGCTTATTTTTTTTTTCAAAGGTATTTTAGGAATGGATGGGAAGGCCTGTATATAGAAATTTATTGCCTTTTTTTCGCGTTTAGTTTTATTGCAAAATTATAAAGAATAACTTTTTGGTAATATTTCTTATATAACTTTATATTGCTTTTCTGTTAAGAAAAATTGCTATTTTTAAAAAAATTAAACATTTTTTTTTTTTTTTGATTAAAAAAACGTACTTAAATTTCATCGTTTTCAAGTGAATTTGAATTACAAAACATTTTTTTTTATTTATTTTTTACTTTTTTTTTATTTATTTTTTGCTTTTTTTTATTTATTATTATTATAATTATTATTATTTTTAAATTAATTTGCTATATATTAATTTTGATTTTTTTTTTTCCTAGGTTTTTTTAATTTTGCTATTTTTTTTGAGTATATATATTATATATATAAAAATGTATACAGAATAAAAAAAAATTAAGTTTTTATATTACATTTATTTATTACAAAAACTATTTAAATAAATAAAATATAAAAAAACATAATTTATTTATTTAAATGAAAAGTTAAAATATAATTTTGATTGGGATTTTTTTTTAAAAAAAATATATATAAATACATTTAAAAAAAATATTTTTCTATTACAAAATATACATAAAAAATAATTTTTAAAATATAAAATAAAAAACAATTTAAAAAAGAAAAAAGAAAAAAGAAAAAAGGAAAAAAAAAAAAAAAAAATTATTATAAATAGTAAAATAATAATAATAAAAAAAATATACCAAAAATAAAATAACATATATAATATATTTATAAAAAAAAAAAAAAAGAATAAAATATTTAAAAAAAATTTTTTTTGAATATTTAATTAAATATTTTTATCTTCAATTGTACATATATATTTAAAAATTTCTTAATTATTAAATATATTTAAAAAAAAAAATTTAAATTCAAAATTTTTTTTATATATATGGTATAATCATAAAAATATTAATATTATAGTTTAATAAAAATTATTCAAAATTATTCAAAATTAAAAAAAAATAAAAAATAAAAGTTAAATATAATAAATAAAAAAAATAAAAATAAAAATAAATAAATATATATATATATAAATAAAATTTTTATTATATATATATATAAAAATTAAATATATATACATATATTATATATATATATAAGATACAAAAAATTAATAAAATAAAAAAGTCTAAAAATAAGAAGATTGAAATATAATAAAATTATAATATCTAATAAAGCAAAAATTCATTACTTTTAATTAAAGTATAAATATTTTATTTTAATATTTTTTTTCATTTATAATCTTAATATATATACATAATTATAAAAAATAAAATAATTATAATAAAATTATATAGTAATTTTTTTAAAAAATTTTTAGCTTTGCTATCTTATTTTATTATAAATTTAAAATAAATATTAATAATATAATTACATAATTTATAATAAAATAACAAATAAAATTATATATTGATATATTTTTTATAAATTTACGCTTTTTTTTATATAAAAACTATAATATAATGAATATTTATTATTTTTTATATAATAATAAATTTTAATATATATTAATTTATCTTATTAATATTAACGATAATTAATAAATTTATCAAAATCAAAATACATTGTTTAAAATTAAGATATTTTAATTCGAAAATATAAACTATTAATATTAATCATCTTCCCTAAATTTATATTTATATTTTTAAAAAATCTTAAACATTTAAAAATACAAATTTTATATAAAAAATTAAAATATATTTACATTTGTTTTGGTTTTTTGCTATGATAATTTTAAATGTATTTGTTAAAAATTAGTTAAGCGATTAACAAATATTATTTTAAAAAGAAATAATATATAATTAGAATATTAAATAAATTTAAATTAAAATTTTATATATAAACAAAAATACATTTATTATTATTATATAAAATATTAAAATTTATTTATTTTATATTTAAATTAAAATAAAAAAATTAATTTTAAAATAATTATTAAATATAAAAATATAATATAAATAAAGATTTTTTTATTAATATCTATAATATTTTATAATAAGGGTTAATATTCATATTTAATTTAATAATTTAATAATATAAATATTAAAACAAAAAATTAAAAAAATAAGTCATATATATATAAATATTTTTTCTTATTAATATTTATTATTTAATAATAATAGATTTAAACTTGAAAAAAATATATATAAAAAATTATAAAAAAAAATATTTTCAAAAATTAATAAATAAAAATTATTCTAAAATTAATAAAATTAAAAAAATATTATAAAATTAAAATAATTATATTTCCTAATAATTAATAAAAAAAAAAAATTATTTGAAAATACGTAAATATTAAAAATAAGAAAATATTAATTAAAATAATAAAAATAAGAAAATATAATTTTATAAAAGATATATAATCTATAAAAAATAAAAATCGTATTAACTAAAAAACTAAACTAAACAAGAATTAAAATATATTATAATTATAATTTAATTTATAAAAGATTTAATAAAATATAAAACTAATTAAAGAATAAATATATTTGAATTATATTATATAAAGTAATATATTAATCATGATAAATATATATATATATTTATAGATATATAATAATAAATATTTTTAATTAAAAATCTTATAATAGTATATTTTTATATCAATTAAGATTTAATATAAATATATAAAAATATTAATTTAAATAGATATATATATATAAATATTTTAATATCTTTATTTACTTTTTATTTGCTTTTTTTTCTTTTTATTTCTTTTTATTATTTTTACATATTTATTATCTTATCTTATAATCTGTTTTTATAACTTTTTATTCATTAATATTTACATATTTTACTTAATTTTTTAATTCACATTAATATCTTTTTTAATAATTTTTAAAATTAATAAATACATATATTTTTTTTTATTTTGTTTATTATTTTATCTTGTCAATTTTTTTATATTTTTGTTTTTTTCAAAAAATTATATAATTATTATCAGAATTATTTCCTTTATTATATCTACTTTAAATTTTTCTATTTTATTTTTTTAAAGATTATCTTTAATCGAATATTTACTTTTTTATTTTTTTATACATTATTATTTTTAATAACTATTATTTTATTATTTTTGATCTCTATTTAATTTATTTATTGTAAAAATAAAATAAATTTTTTAATATTCTTATTTAACAAAATAAAATATCACATTTATTCATAAAAAAATTAAGAAAACTATAAATTTCTATCTTAATTTTTATAAACTTTCAATAGTTATGTTTTGACTTTTTTTAATTAAAAATAGTTTTTTGTGTATTTTTTTATATGTTAATATATTCATTCTAAATTTTAATATAAAATAAAATAGATTTCGTCTTAATTTTTGACTTATATATTCATTTATAAATATTTTATTTAAATTTTTAATTTGTTCTCAAACTTTTAAAAAACTTAAGAATTTAAACAATCATATTTTAAATATAACATTAAAAAAAAACTTTAAATTTAATTTTTTTTTAAAAAAATACTAATAAAAATAAAATTTTAAAATATAAATTCATTAAGCATAATAAGGTAATTTCTATTAGTTTTTTCCTATATTTTTAACAATAATTTTTACACTTCCCCAATTATTTTCTAATAAGACTTTCTTAAAATTAACTAAATCACAACTATTTACTTAAATCCAATCTTCTTATTTAAATTCAAATGAGATTAAATTTCCTTATTTTATACCTTCTAAACTCCATAGACATTCTTAAAAAACGAAATCTTTTACTATGCATTTTGTACTTCTAAAAAGCATTCTTTTGTTAAAAATAATTAAATTTTTATATTATAGATATATAAATATATAGATATATATATATATATATATATATATATATATATTTATATTTATATTTATATTTATAATATCCTCTACTTATCAGGACAATTTGGACACTCAGTATTTTTAATAATATTTTAATAATCAAATGTTCCTAATCCGAGACAAAAAATAGTATTTTTATTAAAATTAATACATCTTTTATTTGTGCAAATTGCATTTAAATTTAAACCTTTAGTTACTGTTTACATATAATAAGGTCTTTAACTAACTAAATCTAATAAAGTGGCATTTTTATAATCAGGAGTATCTAATTTATTTATATTAGGTGCTTATTATCTAGTTTAAATATTAATAATTTTGACAAAAATTAGATTATTATTTTATATATCATTTTAATATAAAGACGAGCATTCATTCATTGGCAAAGAAGATTTTTCAGACATAAAAATACATTAAAATTTAAAAGGATTAAATGATAATTTTTTTGCTAATTCTATTTAAACTTTCTTAATTAAAGTATGTACAGGAAAGACTAACTAAATTTTATTTTAATTTTTTTAATATAAAATTTCAAAGAAAACATTTATTTTTATATTCGGATAAGCATTTTTCATTAAAAAAAAATAATAATAAAAAATTAATTTTAATAAAATAATAAATAAAAAATAAATATAAAATATATCATATATTATTATTATTATTAAAAAAATATTGTATCTACCCTTAATTAAGTTTTATTAAATCCTCCAACTACCCAATTCTCTACTCAATTTTTTAAAAATTAGTTTTAAGTGCCATAATATCCAAAACAAGTAAAAAAATTAACAAACTTAACAACACAGTAATAAAAAATAACATCTTATAAACAACCTATTAAAAATCTTTTCCATCCTTTTTAAAAAAACTGAAACTACTTTTAGTATTTCCTTCGTCTTTCGAGGACATTTTTTAATTTTTAAATTTATCAAAATTTATTTAGTCTTTTGTTAATACAGGTTCATATTAAATGGTATTACTATTATTATTTTCTTCCAGATTTTTCTTTTTTGCACACTATAAAATATTAGTAACTCTCTTAAGCCATATTTCATAATCATCTTTTAAGCTCTATACATTCCTTTGCATAATAGTTTTTTTCATAATTGTATTTTTATTAAAATTCACCCATCCCTAGCATACCAAAAGACTCCTTTTGTCCTCTTTTTAACCCTCCTATTACTAATATGGGGATACTTCCCATTTTTCCTCAATTGTAAAACAAGTACTATATGGAACATCGAAAACTTTAGTTGTAGAAGAAATAGTTAGAACCCCATTATTATTAATATTATAAGTCTATATTTTTTAAAACTTACACGAGTCCCTAAAAGGCACACCTTCGAGTTTAATAATCGCATTTACTTCTCTAGTATAGCAATTTAAGCTTTCTTTATGAGTCCAAGTAGTCATATTGACTTCTTTTGACCCATTTTTTTCTAAATGAGCGGCATATGAAAACTCAGCTTTATCAGAAAAAAACTTCTAGAAAAAGGCATCAACTGAAATAGGCAAAATACACCTTAAAAGTTCTTTATTTTATTATTCACCGCATTAATTTATTACGTCAATTTTTTCTACATTTAAATTATTTTCTTATTATTATGTGTTATTTTCACTTATACTATTATTATTCTCACTCTCAGTTTATTCTTTTTCTATATTATATGTATCTGGTATGGGTTCACCTTTCCATATTCCATAAATTAATTAGTAGGCCATATCTCGATTCCAAAAAGAACAAAAAGTATATGATTTTTGGTTTTTTGTAGTAATTTTTAAAGCATTATTAAATAAACCTAAAATTGTTTCTTTTTTTATTTCAATTATTTCGTCCATGCTTATCTTCTTTTTTGTATTTAAACCTAATACTGTGGCATAAAAACATATGTTGTTTTCTGCTACGAACATTCTTCCGTGTTTTAATATGCTATCAGAATATGCACAACTAAAATCTTCATATATTGTTTCCTTTATTTTATATTTATATATATGTATATATATATAATATTTACTAATTGAGGCAAATCAAAAAGCTCAATTAATTTTTTTTTCGCAGTCATATTATTATATATATTTTTTTATGTAGGATATTTTTAATTTATTAATGGTTTTTTTGTTTATATTAATTTAATGAATATTTATATTTAATTTATATATATTATAAAAAAATTCTTATTTATATCATAATTATTAAATAATTTGATAAACTGTTTTTTTTTATTCGAAAATAATAAGAAAAAGAATTAATATATTCGTATAAATAAAATATAAATATTTTTTGTATATATAAATTATGTATTTTAACTCATTTTAATTTATTTTATTATAATTATATATTAATTTTACTTTTAAAATTTTTATTTTTATAATTATAAATTTCTAAAATAATATTATTGATGTAAATAATATAATATTACTATTTTAATATTAATTATTAGCGATATTATATATTAATTCAATATAGATATTTATAAAGAAATCTTAATATAATATATTATTTAATTAATAATTAATATTATTACAAATATTATAAAAATCTATTTAAATTACGAAATAATCATTAAAATAAATTTAATTAATATATAATTTATATAAATATATCATTTAATAAAAATATAGATTTAATATATATTGTTTAAATTAAAACTTTATATAAATATAAATTTCCTATAATCTAAAAACAATTATTATAATAAAAATAATCATAAATATCGCATTAAAAAATAATATTCGAAGCAATCTGCTGTATAAATAGAAAATAAATAAATAATAATTCAAAAACATGAAAAAAAGACATAAAATTTCTCATCATATACAAAAAAAAATAGTAAAAAATAAAAATAAAAAATATAACTCGTGTATAATAAATATGCATAAAAAAAAAGAGATGAAAGAAAATAAATAATTCCATTATTGAAGAAATGTAGATAAGGTTTATACTTATACGAAAAAATATATAATAGTAAATAGAAAAATTAGGTTATAAAAATAGTGAATAGGAAGTAGATCTATAATTTCTTATAATTTTCTATAATAAATTTTATTGAATATATATATATATATATATATATATATAATATATATATACATATATATATATATTTCATTTTTTTATTTTAAACACAATTTTCAATAAATGAGAAAATAAATTAAAAATATCAGAAAATTTAATATAATTAATTCTAAAATGTAATATATGTTTATATTATTTTAAAGATTAATTAATTTATATATGATTGTTTTTAAAAAAATATTAATCAAAACAAAAAGATAAAAAATAAATAACAGCTTTTTTAATTTTAATGATTTAGTTTTTAAAAAAATAAAGAAAAATAAAGAAAACAAATATTAATATTAATAGATTTATAATTATTTAGAATTTACATATATTAAATTTATTTACGCTTATGTAAGCCTTATATTATGAATATAATAATAATAATTATGTTTTTTATACACAAATTATTATAATGAACTTTAATAAAATTTTAATAATTTTCTAAGATGAAAATAAGATATGTATAAAAAAATTAGGTATTATTAGATTAATAAATTTGAAATATAAATACACTACATTAAAAAATAATAAAAAAAAACATTCTAAAATTTTTTTAAAAAATTATATATTAATTTATAATCAGAATAATAAAAAATAAAGATTAATTAATAAAATATAATATTTCAAATTTTTTATTTAATTATAAATAAAAAAAAAAAATAAATATAATTAAAAAGATATATTTATCATTTTATATAAATATATTATATTAAAAAATTAATATTTTGTTTAGTGTTGTTATTTTAATAATGTTTTTAATAATTACAAAATATAAATTAAAAATATATTCAATTTTTTTACTTTTACAATATATTTATAAATTATAATTATTAAAATTTCTTTTTTAGATTTATATAATATTTATTAAAATAATTAATAAATTATTAATGATTTATATATAATTTTAATTAAGGTTATGAGGGAGAATTTTACATATTTTTTGCAATTTAAACAATGAGATTTTAAAAAGGTAAATAATCTATATTTAAAGGACTTTAAATATTTATATATTTATATATTTATATATTTATATATATATATATATATATCTATTTAAAAATTATTTTATTTTTAACTTTTAATTCAAAATTGTTTTAATGTTTAATTTGGAGTTATCAAGAGTAATCTAACTCTTTCTAAATTTATTTCTTTTTTATTTTCTTCAATAAATTTTTTAAGTTTTATTTTATACTTATTTTTTTTAATGATAATATTTTTTTTGTTAAAAAAATTTAATTACTATTTCTTTTTATTGCCTATAATTAATTTTTATTTATTTTAATATTTATTCTATTATTTTAAGTTTTATTTTTCCTTCTGCTTACACAGCTATTTACATAGCTTATTTATTATTATATATTTTCCCAATATTAATTTAATATTAAATTGAAAAACTTATATTATTTCTATGCAAACTATAAGGTAAAAATGATTATTAAATATCAAAATTATTACTATTATTTTTTTTATATGCATTATATTTTTAAATTATTTTTTCAGTTTCTTTTATATTAATTTCTAAATTTTCCTAAGATTCTTTAATATTATTTTCTAAATTATCTTATGATTCTAAATATTTAATTGTTTAATTTTCTTAAATTTCCTTTTCACTATAATAAGAATTTTATACGTTTTAGAGTTCAATTTTTTATTATTAAATTTTTTTTTTAAAGGAATTTTTCTTTTTATTTTATTTAAATAAAAATAATTATAAATATATATACAATTAATACAATATATTATCGATTTTGAAAGATTATGGCTATTAAAAAACTTAATTTTCTATTTTATTTTATTTAAATTTTTATTATTTATATTCTATTTGTAAAAAATCTTAATATGAATATATAATTTAAGCATTTTCTTAATTTAAGTCTATTTTTTAGGCTCCGAATTATTTTAAAAGGTTATCTTTTAATTTTTAATTTTATTCATTATCTTATATAATTGAATCGTTTTAAAGAATTTTATTTTTCTATTTTTATTTTTAAATTGATTTTTTTTATTTTTGTTTAAAATTTTATACTAAAATAATATGAGAATCCCAAATTTTAATTAAATATTTTTTTTAATATTGAATACATTTTAAAGCTTTTTTTGCAATTATTTAACATTCTATAATTTAATTTTTTAATTTATAAAGTTTTAATTGTATTTTTATTGTTAATTTTTAATAAATAAAAAACAAAACTATTTTTCTTGCATTTTATTCAAATCTTTTCTATTCAAATTTTTATTTTAATTAAGTTAAAAATCTTTGCAAAATATTTTTTTATTAAAATGATAATTAATTTATCTTTTTAAAAATCTATTTTTTAAATAATTTAAAAATACAAAAAAATGTTTCTTTTATATACCTTCTTTTTTTAAAATCTTCTTTATATCATTTTAATCTTTTATATTTAATAAAACGTATTTATTTTATGATTTTTATCTATAATATATTTTAAAAAAATAAAAATAATAATAAGTACATGCTTCTATAGACTAATAAATATAATAAATAAAACTTTCTATATTCAAATAAATCATCCAATTTTATATTGCTGATAATTAACATTATTTTAAAAAACTTTGTATTTATATAAGTTTAGTATTTTCAGATTAATCTTGTATTTAATTTAATTAATTTTATTTTCTTTTAGAATAATAAATTTTAATTAAAATATAATTATATATTAATATGTTTAAAAAAGTAAAAATACTATTTTTCTTTCATATCTTTCTTCCTTTATTGAACTTATAAGATTTATATTTATTTTTACACTTATGATTTAACTTAATCTTGATATTAGGAATTATATTAATCAGGCTATTTTTTAAAAAATAAAATAAAAAAAATTGATTATTATTATGATACGTAGAGAGAAAAAGATTTGAATTTAGAAAACTATTAAGAACGAAATTAATTTTAATTGCAGAAAATAGAATTATTCTATATATTTGAAGGAGAATTCGAATATTTTTAAGATTAAAATTCTTATTTTTAAGATTTAACTAATTATTTTTCAAAGAGAGATAATTTAAATATACTTTTTATATTTTTTAAAATTTCTTTAAATTTTTTTTTTATTTCTTATTTTAAAGACTAAAACTAATAATTAAAATATAATTAAATATATTTAAATATATTTATATATTTATATATTTATATATATATATATAAATATAATATTTTATTTTTATACTATTTTCTAACATCTTATGTCGCTATAATTTTACTTTTATTACTGTATGCAAAATTACTTTCTCTTATATTTTTATAAATTCTATTTTTTCATGGACTTAATTTTACATTTTAAATTTTTTATATATCTAATTAATTTCTTCTTGGTAATTTTCTTCTTTAAAAATAATTCCATTAATTTAATTTTTTTAAATTTAGGTTTAATTATTATTATTTTATTTTTATTTTTCTTAATTTTGTACTGTTTAATCTTTATTTTGTAAAATAAATAATAAAATAATAAAAAAATATATTTATATATATATTATATATATATTTTATAAATATTTATATATTTATTTATTATTATATTAAGATATTAATAAAAATATTTTCATTACTTACTACTGGATAATAATGAATTTTTGAAAAATTATTTTAATTATCTTAATAAAATTCAAAATCATCATATTTTTTATTTATCATATCTTAAACTTAATCGAATTCAATTTATTTACATTGATTTAAAATGTTTTCTATATATTCTAATTTTTAACTTTATTTTTTATATTTTAATGACTATATTTTCTATCTTTAATATTCATTTCACTAAATATATAAACATATATAATATTTTTTTTATTAAAAAAATATACATTTAATGACTAAATAAGTGTTTTATATCTTAAGTTTATAAAATTTTATATCCATCATTTTTAATTTTATTAGAAAATTATTGTTATTTATATTTATCTTTTGTTTTAAACTGTTTTTATTTATTTTATTATTGAAAATTTATATTATAATATGACTTAGTAATATCTTAATTTCTTTTTTCTACTGAATTTGTATTAAATTCAGGAATTTTATGTAAAGACTTACTTTTACGAATAAAAATATCTTAAGTTTTATAAGAATTAAAGCCTTTATTTAATTTCTTTTCGTAAAATTATTTAATTTTATTAATATTTTATTGTGCATTATTAAGTATTTTTTCCCTAAATTATATCAAGTTTTTATATGCTAATTAGTTATTTTATGTTTTTTTACAAATAACAACTGTAAAATTCTTTCCACAACCAACATCTATTACTTACATCTAATTAAATTCTTCTAAACATAAAGGATAATTATAATCAATTGATTCTTAATGCCCTAAACAATTATGATTGCTATTTATTATAAAAGTAATTAAAATGCATATATATATATATATTTTTATTTAAAAAAAATATATTTATACTTTTATCCCCATGTGTACAAAAATCCTTTTTAATCAATAGCTGCATTTTAATTGCCATAAGAAGATATTTTTACAAATATACTACAGGATTAATTTTTTTTTGAACTTTTGAAATACCCTGTTATTACTTTAGGTCTTAAATAATCCTTTTTTTAAAAAAATAATAATATTATATAGATATTTATAAATATATATTTTTTTTAAACTTAATTTTCTTAGTTTTTTTATTCATTCATATTATATATAGTTTTTCCCCATGTGTATATTTATCCTTTAAATGTAATTGCACAAGAATGACTATAACCACAGCTTGCCTATATAATCTTATGCTCTTATAAGGATTTTATCTATATTTCTAATTAAAAAAAAAATATGTTTATATATATTTACTAGTTAAGGTTCTGCCACCATGTAATTATAACTCCCATTAACACTTGAATGTCCTAATTTACCATATGTACCGTCTCCCCATGAATATATTTAACCAGCTTAATTCCACATTAAACAATGGTTTTTCCCACAAGCTATTCCTTATATTTTTATTAACTATTTTATTTTTATGAATTTTTTAATTTCTATAATTTAATTAATATAATTTATTTCTTTTTAATTTAATTAAAATAAATATTTATTTATACTTTAGGAGTAATTTTTATTTAAACAGGTTTTTCAGTATGTTTTATATTAATTTAACCTAATCCTAATCTTGCTTTTTATTGTAATTTTTGTTTTATAAAAATTATTAAATATTTAATTTTAGTTTACAAAAATCTTCTTTTCCAAAAGAAAATAGTTTATTATTCATTACCTTAAATTTTTATTAAATAAGAAATTTAAATAATATTTAATTATTAATATAAATACTATTAATGTGAAATGATCACTACATGCGACATGTTCAAATTCAATTTATCTTTTTTTAATAAAAAAATTATTTTGAAGTAAATATACATTATATCTTTAATATCTTTATTTTTTAAGAATTATTTCTTTTTAATTTTTTCTACAGATAATTTTAATTTTTAATCTGTTAATTCACCTTTTTATATTTATAAAAAAAAATAAAAAATATTATAATATATATATATATATATAATATTTTTTTATATAGAAAACTTATATATATATATATATTTTTATAAAAAAACCTAAAGAACAAAATTCTGTTGAGCCCCATCCAAACAACTTTTTTTGAGCTTTTTGTTTTAAAAATATATTAAAATATATTTAAATGAAAAATACTTGATATTCCAACAGTATGTGTAGAACTAACTGCAATTTAACTAAAATGTTTATCAGTTAATTTACTTATATTAAAAGGTTTATTTTAACAAAATTTTATTCTATCAATTCCTAATTAACCTAAAATTCCTGATCCGAAAGTCCATAATTCAGTTTTATCTAATTTTTTTTTTATTTTTACTATTTTTTTTTAAAAAAATAAAATAAAATAATGAACCATCAATTAAAAATATAGTTTTATGTCCACAAAAAACTTTTTAAAATTTCAATTTTTAAATTTCTATATGTTTCATCATTTAAATATAATAATTATATTCTATTTTTTCTACTTCATTATCAAACTAAATTAATAATTAAGGATTAAAGTTTACATATTTTATACTTTTTATTTATAATTGTTATTTATCATTTAAAATAATAAAATATAGTTATATATGATTTAATTATAGAAATACACGTCTGATAAATTATAATTATTATCACATATTGGAGCTATTGATTAAATACCAAAATAATAAACTAAATTTTTATGTTTATAGTTTTTTAATATATTTAATTGGGAAAAAAAAAAAAAAAACCTGAAGTCATTTTTTCTATATTTATTTTCAAATTTAATTAATTTACATTTAAATAAGTTTTTTTTGTTTCTTTTTCAAATTATTATTATTTACATTTGAAATAATTTTTTATTTTTATTTTTCGTTTTATTATTAACGCATAATTAAGTTTTTATTGGTAAATATATTTATTTATTTATTTATATATATTAAAAAAAAAAAAGAACAAATCATATTCATTAATTATCTTCAAAAAACTATGTAAGTTCGCTTTTTTACTTTAAATTTAATTAAATATTATTAAGAGTTTCTTAAAACAAATTTTCTTTTTTTAAAATGCTTAAAACATCATAACATTTTTGCATTTTTTCTGCAATTTTATCATTTTAATTTAGAATTTCTTATATGTTTCCAACCACATAATTACAAATTAAATTCATTATAATTTCCGCTTTTTCATAATTAGGGTTAATTTTGGGCAATTAAATTAATAAATTTAAAGTTTCACTCAACTATAAACATTTTTTTACCAAATCTTAGTAATTATTTTCTTCTAAAATACCTTTAATTTCCTCCATATGAAAATCTAGTTAAATAATAGAGTCAATAATATCCAAAGAATGCGTAAGTTTACTTTTAAACTATATGATTTCCAGAATTTCATTAAATACTTAATTATTTAAATTTATGTTCTAAATTAATTTCGTTTATGGATTCTACTAAAGAAAATTTTCAATAGAAATAACATTCTAAATAATATTTTATTATTTCTATATAATATTGTTTTGATTCTGAAATATTTTCTATTAATAATCCAATAATTCTTCCTCACATTTTTATTACAAAAATTTTACATTAAATAATATTTCAGTTAATTGCATATCAGTAGATTAAAATTAAAAATCTGGTTCTGTGTTTAATACAATTTTATCAACTTCAGATTAATGTTCTTAATTCATTCTATTGAGTTCGTTTTATAACCATTTCTTTGGATCGAAATCGGGACTTAGTAAAGCTTATTCCATTTTTTTATTATATTAATTTATTAAATATATGTATATATATAAATAATTATATATTTATAAATATTTATATTTATATTTTTATTTTTTATATATTTATATATATTATAAATTACGTTCATATTTATTTATATATTTTTCTATTATTTTAGTTTTAATTATTACTATATAAAAGATATTTTTTAAATAATTTTTATTTTTTTTATTATATTTTTTATTTTTTAAAAATATTCTATATTTATAAATATTTAATCTTATCTTTATAATTAAAAATTAATAATTATTATATTTATTTTTTTAATAAAATTTAATAATAATACTTTTTATTAAATAAAATAAAAACTAATATAATTGTTATAATTTTTTTGTTTTTTTATATATTATTTTTTAAATTTAAAATAAATTTTAATTATATTTTCATTTTAATATATAATCTATGTTCATTATTTCAATTTTACCTTATTATAATATTAAATTATAAGAGTTATTATTATAAAATATACTATTTTAATCTAATTTATCTATTAAAGAAAAATGTTATAAATTTTAATTTTTTTTATAAATCAAAATTTTTTTGTATAAATATTTTTTTGGTTCATTTAAAATATAAAATTTATATTAAAAATATCATATAATAAATAATATAAAGTGAAATAATAAAAAATAAAAAAGTTAATTAATATATCAAAATAAATAAAGCTTTTTTTAAAAAAAAATCTGAAATAAAATGAAATCAAAATTTTTAGATACATTATTTGATTCAATAGTAAATTTGTTAGGTTCACGAAAAAGAAAAAGGTTTTTATTTAAAATAATATAAAATTTATTAAACAAATAAAATTAAAACAAACAAAAAATAGAGTAGAAAGTTCAATAAGTGAATTAGATTATAATGAATATAAAATGATTCCCGTTAAGTATTAAAATATTTTAAACGAAAGAGAAATATCGAAGCAAAACTCATAATTTTTAAACTAATAAAAAATAATTATTTAAAAAAAGAAATCACCTTTAAAATCACCTCCTTAGAATCAAAAAACAAATAAGAAAATAAATAAAGAAGAAATAATATTCATATATAGTAGCGATGAGAAATAAAAAGAAAATAAATCAATAATTAATAATTCTTATAATATATAAATAAATAATAACTCAAATTTAAATATAAATTAAAACTCTTAATTTTCAATATCTGATACTTTAATGGAATTTAAATAAATAACAGATGATTTAGTCAATATAGACCTCAAAAGCTTAGAAGAGAAATTCTTAAATATTCAACTAGATTTTTATAAAAACAAAGAAAAAGTTCCCAAAAAGATCTTCCAATAAAAATAAACGAAAAATTAGAAAATTAATGATTTATCTAAACGAAATATACGACTTAAAAACCTAAAAATAGAAAAAATACTTTTCGAAATTCGAACTTGAACAAGTCCGTAAAATCGAAGAAATATTTTAAAGAAAATTCTCCTTAAACGATTTGGCTGTCGAAAATTAATTTTTTTATGAAAAATTAAGTTTTTCTAATTTATAGACTTTAAGTGGCTATAATTGGCTTAATGATGAAGTAATAAATGCTTATATTAGATTAATTTAAAAGAATCTTCTTACTTTATTTTTAATACTTTTTTTATCCAGAACTATATTCAAGAAATTGGAAAAAAATTCAAAGAATCCTCAATAAAAATAATGTAAAAATATATATATATATTATAAAAATATAATAATAATAATTATATATACTAAGGTAAATTTTAATAAAGATAAATAAGTATTTATTCCTATGAATATTAATTCTAACCATTGGGTTTTCGCAGAATTAAATAATGAAACAAGATAAATAATATATTATGATTCATTAAAAAATAGTTAAAAAGATTACATTTAATATTTACTTCCAATAGATGATATGCTAAAAGAAATGTGTCCTTTTTAAACTTATACATTAGAAATATAAGATACTGGAGTTTAAAAAAATGGATATGATTGTGGAGTTTTCATGCTTAAAGGGATTTTTTACAAAAGTCAAGGAATTAATGGTTTAGAATATTGGATCGAATAAGAAGATATGAAATATTATAGATATTAAATTACTTAATAGTTAATTTAAGGAAAATTATGATTATTTTTTATTACTTTTTTTATTAATATTTTTTTTTTTTAATGTTTTATTAAATATTTTAATTTATATAAAATATGTAAATAATAATAATAAAAAGATCTATATTAATTTATTTATTTAATAAAAATTTTTAAAAAATTGTTATAATTTTAATAGAATTTTTTTTAAAATATTTATATATTTATATTTAATAATTTAATATTTTTTGTAGTTGATTTAATTATCTCTATAAAAACAATGTATAAAATATTATAAAAATTATAAATTAAGTACTATTAACTTAAAATATAATTAAATTATTGAATATTTATACATTTTATACAAAAATATAATATAATAAAATATTTTTTTTTTTTTCAAAGTACAAAAAAACCAAAAAAAATAACTTTTAAATAATTTATTAATATTTTTTATTTATAAGAAATAATTTAATTTTTTTTTTATTTTATTCATTAATTTTTAATAAAAAATTAAAACATTTATAATATTTTATTTTAGTTTAATTATATTTAGTTTTTTATTTATATAAAAAAATAACATAGTATTATTTTTTTAAAAAAAAATAAAATAAAATTCTATAATAAAATGATTGAATAAGATTAAATTATATAAGACATTAAAAATCCAAATAATGAACAAAGTAGTTTTTTAATTTATATAAAAATCTAAATTGTTTATAAATATGTTTTTTATTAAAAAATAAATTAAATAATTATTCTCATCATTAAAATATAAGGTAGAAAATAATCTAATACAAGCAAAAATTCAAAAGATCGAAAAAATTCATAAGATGATGAAATTAAAGTAATAAAAATAATTTATATTTTATAATATATATTCTTAATTAACAAAAAGTAAAATGGATAAACTAAATAAAAAGAACTTCTTTCAGTCCCAAAAATGCTAGCATAAGGATTTTCTAAATACATATCTCCTAATTAATAACAGATAAAAAACTTTTAAAAAACAATTAAAAAAGTGGTAGTGATTTACTTGATTTAAAAAAAATGAACATTATAAAATTCAATTAAAGTAATTATAATAATGCAATATTTTTATAAATAAAAAAGTAAATTTTAAATAAATCCTTTGGATAATTCAGCTAGTAAATCCGAAAATACAATAGTTAAACAATAATAAGCAGATAAATTATATTAAATAATTTATAGATTAGAATAAGAAATAAAGAGTGCAAAATAAAACAATTAAAAAGAGTAATAAAAAATATATAAAATTAAAATTAATTAGAATAAAATAAAAGAGTCAATAAAAAAGAAAGAAATAAAAGTTAAAATTAAAAAAGTAAGATAATCAATTTATATGTCAAAAAAATCGAATAATTATAAACTGAAAAAAACTCATAAGTAATATATTTTAACTCTAAAATGCAAACGTTACAAGAAGAAATTGAAAAAAAAGAATAAATAATCAAAAATAATTTAAATAATGAATAAATAAATGAAAGTTCCTTAAAATTAATCAAAGAAAATAATAAATAACTCGAAAACGAAAATCAATAATTAGATATATAAATAAAATTATTAAAATAAGATTTATAAAATTTTCAAAATTTAATTAAATTATAAAAGGAATAAATAGAAGATTTATTACTAAAGCAAAAAGAAGAATAGGAATAAAATGAAAAAATTTGTTTGGAAAATAAATAAAATTTAATAAAACTTAAACAATAAATTTAAGAAATAACAGATGAAAGAAACTAATTAAGAAATACTTTGTAAAATTGTTAATTAAGAGAATCTAATTTCATTCAAATTTAAAATGAAGCTTTATAAGAAAATAATGAAAATTAATAAATTAAGATATAAAATAGTTAAAATTATTCTTAAGAATTTATTCAAAATAAAATAAATTAATTGGAAAAAGATTAAAATAATTAAGAACTTTTAAATTGTTATTAATAATTATTATCATATATAGAATATTAAAAAGAATTCTAAAATAAAAGAGATTCTTAATAATAAACTTAAAGAAGTTCTATAAGTCAATAAAAATATAATTAACATTTGTTAGAAACTATAAATTAGGATTTGGCAAAAAACTAGGAAATACTTAAAAATTAAAACAGCGAATTAAAATAAAAAGTCGTTGATTTGAATTAAAAACTTGAAAATTAAAAGAAAAATGAAGAATAGCTTCAACAGATTAATGAAGAAAACATAAAATTACGAGAAGAAGTATATAAGTTAAAAAGCCATAGCGAAGAAATACAAAAATAGTATGAATTAAAAGAAAAAATTATTATAGAAAGAGAAAACACTATTAAAAATTTGTAAATATATATATATATATATATATATATATATATTATATTTATTTTAATATAATTAATATTTATTTTCTTTAAATATTTTTATTTTTGAAAATTTAGGTTTTTATGTTTTCATTTTTATTTTTTTTTATTAATTTTAATATATATTATATACATATATATTTTTTTCTTTTAATAAATACATATTTATATATTTTTAATAATTATAAATAGAAATTACGAAATTAAAGAATTTTAATTATAAAATGAAAATAATTTAAAAGATGATGAATCTAAAAGTCTTTATACTAGAATAAATGTCGTAAATGCTTAAAATAAAGAATATTAAGAAAAGAACTTTTAATTATAATGTAAAATAGAAGAATAAGATTAACTTATTTAAAAACTTACTTTAGAAAATTAAGACGTCTAAAACAGACTTTAAGCATAAATATAAATTAATTCATAGTAAAATATATTTTATATATAAAAAACAAATACACACATTTTAAAGAATAAGTAATTAATAAAGTAATAATAATCTTAATATCTCAAGTAATATTGTAGATTGTAAAGATATTATTGTTAAAGAAGTAATAAAAATTTATA